ATATTCAAAATTGATAAAATTTTCTATTTCAGTGAAGCGGACGTTAAACGCATGAGATTTTTATCGCTTCCACTCTCTCCCCTTTCTTTCTTTCTTTTTTTCTTTCTTTCTTATTATTTTTCTTGCTAAACCAAATCAGCGTCTCTGATATCTCTTTGCCTTTGTTTTTTCTCGTAAACAAAACAGAATTGCATCTGCTTACTAACTTTCTAGGTTGTTAACTAATAATCTATAATTATATGATATTTCATAGTTTATGCAAACGTCTCCAGAAATTTTGTCAAAATCTTTTATTCATACAAATTCGTAGCATCAATATTCATCCACCAGAGAATTTTCCCAATCATTTCTATCAATTTAAGTCATTTTCTACTTAATCCAAACTAGAATGAGATAGCCATCACAAACAAAGATTTATTTCTCCCGTTAGACGGAAAACGAATGAATATATATATATATATATATATATATATATATATATATATATATATATATATATATATATATATATATATAAGTAAAGGTAATATTTTGGTATATAATCCAAGTGATCCTAGTAATATAAAATATTAAAATTGATCGACAAAATGGAGCCAACAAAATCCCCAAATTACCTCATATTGGGGAATAGATCTATTTCAACCGGCGAAAACTCTGTCAGTTTTATTCAACCCCGGTGTATAGATTGAGTTGTCGGAATTAGAAATTTAACTGTGACAGCCGTCGAAAAACTGATACAGAATTTATCCATTTCCTTCCCCTGCTATGACCACGTGTATACTATATATATATATATATATATATATATATATATGTATATATATACACTACACACAGATATATATATATATATATATATATATATATATATATATACACATACACAGACATATATATATATATATATACTTTGCTAGACGACTAAGAAAGTTGGCGAATCTGTTCATATTAGCGCGCATTCGACAAATCCGAAATAGCAAATAAATAAATAAAAACTCCAAAAATTAGACAACGGAAGAAAAATAATGCCAAGAATACTGAGGATCATTTTGGAATTTTGCGAAGGTTTGTTGTCACTTGTTCCACACTAAATACCACCAGATACTATTGATATTAAAACCTTTTTTTTTAACCTGAAAATTTTAAAACTCATCTTTGTAAGCGCTTAAGTAACTATGCAAATTCAAAGAACACGAGATCGAAATCAGTAGAAGGTAGCATCTCAAGACATTACCTGTTATTATTGGGGATTTGCGAAGGATATGAAAAGACTTTTTCAAAGGCCCAAATGCATACACTTGTTTGAGCCTTTGAAAAAAATCATGCCCATGGGTACTTCGGGCACTTTGACGTGGTGTAATGGTTAACAAGTTTGTCTCGCTATATCCGTTACAACTGATTAGGGAATACAATATTCATTGGGTGCTCCCCAATTTCGGTCTTGTGCTGCATCTAAGCTACGCTTAAAAATCAGTGGGCACCTCGACTTGGTGTAATGATTAGCAACTTTGTCTCGCTTGAACATTTATGGCTGAGTAGTGAGTTCGATCCTCACTGGGTGCCCCATAATTTCGTCTTTGTTCCATATCTATGCTACTCATCTTCGGTAGAATTTTTACCATGCAATGACCACAATTTAATTTTTCTTTCTCTGGTTGCATGACACCTCACCTATTTGCATCTTTTGATACGAAATCATTTCTCTTGAAGTCTCATGTTGAAACTTGGTGGTCCAACAACAACAATAGCAGCAGCAGCAACAACAACAACAACAATAACAATAATATGCCTTGGGGAGCGCTCAGGTGTCAAAGTTGCTTGTAATAGTTCATATACTGTTGTGTGTATAGGTAGGGGATAAGATATGGTTTCCATCATCTGGCCGAAATACTTTGAGAAGCACTGCCCTAGACAGACGATGTATTGCACTGAGTGTTCCTGAGGACTATATTTAGCTTCATGTATTTATAACCTAACGTTGGTAGGTCGCCCTCTCAGTCAATAATAATAATAATTAACGAAACGGGTCAAGCAGAATCGATGGGCCGAATACAAATTCCCGCTTTGTCAGTAGCATTCAATTTCGCACAGATGTGTGAAAGGCATGAAGCCATCTCTTCTTCTCACTTTCAGCTATCTGTTAAAGAGCAGAGTTGACTGGGCCCTCTAACCTTGGTTGGCAGCTAGTCTAGGAGAGGGAAAATCCTGAATTCCAAAACGTGGCGAAAGCAATAGGAAATCACTCCATTCCCGAACAGCTTCTTCCTTCCTTCTTTGTGGAACCGACTCCCAAGAGAATGCTTTCCCAACCACTACAATCTTAACTTGTTAATGTCTAGAGTTAACCCTTATCTTTCTCCCACATCCTCATAAACTACAACTCTTACCTCTTACCTTTACCACTCACGTAACAAACTTCTTCGGTAACGCTCTACCTCGAGAGTCTCTTGGTCCTTATATAGAATGAACATTAATAAAAAAAAAAAAGTCATGGTAATTTAGAGATAATAAAGAAAAGAAAGAATTTCGGACTTGTTTCATTTTAATTAGAAAGTAAAATTATCTAAGATATTAAGATTCGGACGGCCAATCCTATCTATCCAAGCAAGAAAAAAGAAAGGCTAAGAGATTTTTGGCAAGACTGTTACAATAGAGAAGAGGAGGAGGATAAAAGAAAAGGAAGAAAAAAAAAAAATGTCACATGTGGCCACCCGGCACAAAAAATAAATAAATAAAATTAAAACAAAATAAAGCGAAAACGGAAAACAAAGCGTCGATAGAAGAAAAGTGAAAAACTGGTTAAATATCTCGACCTTAAGAGAGACGAGGAAATTTTGAAAGCTGATAGTCGTTCCAGTTGCTATCAGAACACTGGGTATATAGATCAATAGATGGGAGGAAGAAATAAAGGCGAGAATCGAGACCCCCCCCCCAAAAAAAAGTAGGGGAATAAAATCATCTGTAATTCTAAAGATAGTCCTGGAATTTTCAGGAGGGTTGCTGTCACTTGACTCCAACGAAAACCACCAGTGACTACTACTGGGAGGAAAACTCATTGAGTAGTCGTAGTAGTAGTAGTAGCAGTAACGATGATGATGATGATGATGATGATGATGATGATGATGATGTCATCAGTGTTTTCCGAGTATTGTCTCTTGCCTTATTTTTAAAAATAAGAATAATAGTAATTGTAGTGACAGCTCAAGCGCTGCTACTATTACTAATAGACTTTCTTCTATTTACTAATCATACCTACAAGGTAAATTTACGAAGATTTACTACTACTGTTACTATTACCACCACCACCACCACCATCACCACCACCACCAACAACAACAATAACAACAGCAACAAAGAAAGAAACGGTTCATTTCAACTTCAAGAGAAGTTCATTACAAGGAAAAACAATGCAAAAATTTTTAGTTACTAATTTTACATTTTCGATGCAGCGTCACCCGAATCATTCAGTTTCTTTGAAGTTATGAAGGGATTTTTTTTTTATTTTTATTTTTAGAGAGTATGGATTTTATTGTCACCCAAAAAACCTCATCTGACCATCGTTATCTTCCCAGATTCACAAGAGTGGCCCACGAAGAAGACTAAAGAAACGAAACTCAGTAGGAAGAATTTCAATTACAATCTTTTAGTTAAAAAAAACAAAAACTAAATATCTTTCTGGAGTTCTGGAATGAGGACTTATCATTATTTACATTCAGTTCACATGTCCCACATCTTTGTTGTTGTTATCGTAACATTTCTCTCGTTGTGCCCTCTGGACTTCTTTTCATTGTTGAGGGAGATGTTTTGTTCTTTTAGTACTGCCCAGTTAAAAGAGAACGAAAGACACGGACAGAGGAATAATAACAATCTATCCCCGTAAATAAAATAAAGGCTGTGGGTTGCCCGGATCGACAGACACCTGAAGAAGGCTTTAGGACAGAACGGTCGAAACATTGTGATAATAACAACAAAGATGAAGATATTAGTCTGAATGTAAACAAAACATTTTGATGTAATATTGATGAAAGAAATTAGTAACGTGTTCAACACTGATAAAAAACACCCCCATATATATATATATATATATATATATATATATATATATATATATAAAAGTGTATATTGAAGTCAACAGACGAATTACGGTTTCATGCTAAACACAATCATCAGGCTATATATATATATATATATATATATCTATATATATGCACCGCGGCGTGGTGTATTGGTTAGCAAGCTTGTCTCGCTAGATAATTTACGACTGAAACTGAGTTCGATGCTCACTAAGTGCCCGATACTTTCGGCCTTGTGCTACATTTAAGCTACGCTTAGAAAATAACCCTCTCTCTCTCTCTCTATATATATATATATATATATATATATAGGTATCCCCAAAGTTGTACTCACTGTTTCAATGACAATAAATGTTAGAATTTGTTTTGTTTTTTTTTAAAATTGTAATTCAAGAATCTTTCTGTACTGTTTAATTTTTGTGTAGCATATAACCGATAAGTGCTTCTTATATGTTGTAAAAAAAGCGTATTTTAATATTTCATATACGTGATAAAACCCCTCAGTGTAATGGTTAAGAAGCTTATTACGTCCTCACGGGAACTATCACACCTGTGGTGTTCTTCTAGATTAAGATGAATGACACAAATTTAAAAACAAGTATGAATCCATTTTAGTTCTGTGCATTTCATATGCACAAGGCTATAGGGAAGTAATAATGGTTAACAATCCATTTTGGGATCGTGGTCGCCGCCTTGTGTCAGATTATGCTAAATATGAAAATTAAAATATTCAAATTTTAGTTTTTTGTTCGCGTAAACCAGCGTGATCATTAGGTGGGGAGACATCAACATATATACGATTACTAGACTGGCCGCTAGAAAGAAAGGGGTTTGGAATCAACACTTGTTAAAAATTATTATATGCAAACTAGAACTCATAAGCCCCTTACAATGGTGCGTGTCGGTTGTGGAGAACCTTAAAGTAAGATGATTGCCATCGCCAGTAGGATTTAATAATGTTTCAATGCTACGTGTAAAAAATGTCATGTTAGAAAAAGAACACATCTGGCTAAGAAAAAAAAAAAAAAAAAAAAGAAGAAAAGAAAGAAAGAAATTCTATGTCACCATCATTATTTGTGCTTCAATAGGACACTTTTTCTTTCATCTTTATATACTTACCAGTTGTGTGATGTCAGCGGTGTTGTAATAAATACCCTCGAAGCTAACAGTACTGACTTTAACTGACCCAGCGGACTGTACGTATATTTACACACGTCAACACATGTATGCGTGTGTACTTGTTTTATGGGTTTGTTATGTCAGCAAATGAGAGGTTTTCCCCCTGCTCTGTGCTGTATATGGATAGAAGGAGATCCAAATCGAATAGAATGGGATAGAGATCAATTCATCGACAAGAAGACATCTGTTTAAGTAGCCCTGGTGTTTTGTATCTGTGTATGTTTTTGCTACTTTTCGTTCGTTGGATATATTTTTTCTTTTGTAGATAATTTAATTTTTCTTCTTTAATTAAACAATTAATTATTCTTTTCTATTTTGAAAGGTTTTCTTTCTTTCTTTCTTTCTTTCTTTCTTTCTTTCTTTCTTTCTTTCTTTCTTTCTTTTAGTTTTAACTATCACCTTTGTTGTGTGTTGTCGATACGCGTTGCCGTACCTGTTTTAGGGAAGAAAAAAAATCTAATTTCCATTTTTTGTAAGTTTTTTTTTGAAAAAAAAATCTTTTTAGCCTTTTCGTAGTGGGGTATTATTTCTTTTTACTGTTTTTCTGGGTTTCGTTCGCCAAAAATATTATTATTTGGATTAACAAAGGTTAAAACAGAATTCATCGGCAAATAAATAAATAAAATAAAAACGGCAGAACAACGTGGTGTTCTTATATATATAATTGTTTCTTTTTCTAAGCATCTTTTGTATATATATATATATATATATATATATATACACACACACACACACACACATACACACACACTATGGAGGAGGAACACGTTGTTGAACCGAGTCTGAAGCAGCAGCAGCACCAACAGCAGTAGCAGCAACAGTAGTTGCTGCGTCAGACAACAAGCGAGAGAGTAGAGAGAAAGAAGAAGAAAAAAAAAGGAAGAAAAATCATGAAAAAAGAAGAAAAAAAAGACAGTTTTTAATGTATATACATAACAGTGAAAAGAGAAAAAAAATTTATGTTGGCAATCAGCAGATAAAACTAAGACGGACAGCAGAAGCAGTTATCAACTGTTAATGATTGAGGTTAGCGAAACCTTCAACACAAATTCACTTCTCTTTCATCTCCCACTTTCTCCTAACCGAAACCTCGCCACCCCGCCACCTCGTCAGTGTCTTCACTTGTCTCAACACAAAAACGGCGGGAACAGTAAGTAATTGTTGACTTTTCGGTAGTAATTTTCACGACGTGTCTTGCTGGTCTGAAAAATTCGCGTTATAGTGAAAGCAAAAACTTCCCGCTCAAAACTTCCCATCATACGAAGAAGGTCGATGACCCCCGCCGTCTGTATCTTTGGATTTGAAACAATCGACGATACTCGCAGGAATCATTCTATGGATACTTGTAAAACTTTACACACCAGAATTTAAAAATATACAAAAAAAAAAAAAACCTTTGTAAAAGACACTTTTTTTTTACCATACAAAATTTTTCGTCAAGCATAGATTGAAAAAATGACTGAGTCGGTTTTGAAAATGAAAACCGATTCTGTCATTTTCAATCATATACCCTACGATTGCTACACTATGAAACACTAACACAGAATTGTATCAAACGGCCAGAAATATATATATATATATATATATATATATATATATATATATATATATATATTTTTGTTTTTCTGCTAAAATAAAATACCATCAAATAGTAGATATATATTTTAGATTTAGTAACTTTTTTTAAATACCTTGTTTTTACTTGACACGTATAATAGAGACCAAGAGGATTTTCCATACTTCCATTAGTTTGAGTGTAAATTTTGCCATTATGGTAGTAGAAGGGGCCTTTAGTGGAAATGTGGACATTGAAGTCAACACCCAGCCCTGACAGTCTGTTTCCTGTTAAGTAAATGGTGTTTATTTTTTTGTTTTTTTAAAATTAAACTATATTGCATTTATTGGCCTGAATGTTTGAAAAATTTCATAGAAAATATGAACTAAAAATATGAAAAATAACGTATAAACAGATAAATATGTTAATATATACATATAAAATAATATACATATAAATATAAATATAGATAACTAGACTCGTTTCGAAAAACCCTCGAATTTTTGATTTGCTAATCAAATCAATCTCGAGGGAAAAAAAGGTTTTAAAAAAAGAAAGATCTACAAACATGAACTTCTGCCGACAAAAAAATCGCACAGATGCAGGTCTGAAGCCCAAAGAAAAAACCCCGATACGAGTAACAACTAACTAACAAAAGAGCTCAATACAACCGTAGAGCAGACCTAGATAGCCAAACTTTCCCTGACGATCCGTTTAGGTGAAACCTAGGTAGGTTTGTCTGGCTCACTAGGTGTATAAAATATATATATATATATATATATATATATATATATATATATATATATATATATATATTCATGAATTATTCACACAAAAACAAATGCCAGGTTAATGATTTAATTGGCGAGAAATCCATCGTCGCAAACAATTCAAATAATATACAAAAACCTCCGAACCCGTTATGAATGAAAAGATCCTTGTTTCTATAAATTTCTGCCACATTAGTTCTTATTTTTACTACAAGCTTTCGTCTGTTCCTACAGACATCTTCAGGTATGGAATAGATGTTGTTCTTGTTTTTTCTCAGTAATAAGAGGACAACGAAAATATATGTATTGTTGTATCCGAAAATGCTATTGAAATGAGTTATTGTTTTTGGAGCGTGCAGTAGCAACGCTGAGTTTGATTTTAAATTTTTACAGTTGTGCGTTCATGTACAAATATGGTGATAAACGAATTTTTTACTGGTAAATTTTCTGTCAAAGTGGCATGAACTATATTGTTCAATAATTACAGTAATGTCGCACTTATTATCCAAAAGTCGCACTTGGATCAGTTATTTTAATTTCGATAAACGTGCAATCAATTTACAAATTCATGAATTATTCACACAAAAACAAATGCAAAGGTTAATGATTTAATTGGCGAGAAATCCATCGTCGCAAACAATTCAAATAATATACAAAAACCTCCGAATATATAGTTAAATTCCCAGAAGCGTCTATCTTTTTAAATTTGGATTTTTAACGTAACTATAGCAACAAAAACATTTCGATTTCATTTTTGCCTTGAAAAAGTCGGAAGACGAAACGCGTCGGCAAAATGTAAGATTTTTTTCCAATTGTCATTTGATGCCATATATATATATATATATATATATATATATATATATATATATATTTTATTTTTTACAAAGAACTAAAAAACATTAAGCAGACTCTAATTAATAATGACTTCCCAAACCAGATTGTAGATGAACAAAGAAGACGATATATAAAAAACTCAACGTACGTCAAATAAAATGTAGTACTTCCCAAAAGGACACTAAAATTATAAAATTTCTATATTGTAACCAGATGCATCCTAACTACAAACAGGATGAAAAAAATCATAAAAATCATATTTTACTAACATATCTTCCAAGGATTCTAATAAAAAAATGAAATTAATCATATTATAAAAAAATACAATACAACAAATTTAATTATCCACAATTACTCTTCCCCAGTAATTGATGTATTACGTAAAACCAACATTATATACCAATTTTAATACCAGTTGGGAAAATGTATCTCTGACAAAAAACAAATATATATGTTGGGTATACAACAAATACACTATCAAGAAGGCTTACCCTCCACATGTCTGACCATTTATCCAGTGCGAGACATCAACAACAACATTCCTGTTTGCATTCACAGTATAAAAAAATTAGTAATCGACAACACTACTATCCTACACCATAAAAAGAAGTTAAAATACAAATACTAGAAGCAATTTATATTATAAAAATCAAAGCCTGCACTGAACAGAATCGACTATGAATACTGCAGTAATGTTCTGAAATGCCTGTAAAGAAACAGGTTTTTCATGCTTTAATGCGCGCGTGACCATTAAATTATAACATAGAAGAAAAAAATCCTTAATGGATATTCTTTTCACGTTTTAATAAACACTCGGCACATTGTTAACCGTTTTGTATTTAAAAGCATCCTGAAAAAATTACGGTAATGGATAACAACGCGCATCTTTATATAAATACTTATACTAATGAACAACATATTGTTTTGTAGCACTTGCACCCCGGAAGATGATCTTGGAAAAAGATCGAAAGTACTTGGGAAATGAAAATAAAAGAAATTTAAACAGCTATAGCACATTTCTCCCATCATTTAACATCAACGCACGCAAGGTTATTCGTGAGTATGAACGGATTTTATTAAAAATTAGCAGACATAATGTCTGTAATTTATTCAATCAGACATGTCTAAAAGAGAATTTGCTGCCTAAATACACAGTCTAAAGTAAGCAATTCCTAACGGAATATGCTACAATGACACACAAGATTAAATAATATAGCCTTAATACAAATATATAAATTCCAGGTGAACAGTGACCGGCCACAAGTAAAATTTTCTTGCGTTTTCATGCACTTACCAGGTAGTTGGCAACTGTTATTTGTGAAAATCGCTATTTAGAACTCATTTAAATACATACAAAAATATACCAGACTCCATCATAATAACCTCATCTACGTGTAAAAAAAGATTTAAAATAATGGAAGCCCTAATAATAAAAAAGGAAAAGTCAACACTCAATAACATTAACTACGAACACGGCGACAATGTGTTGACCGTTTTTGGAAAATGAAACATACCTATAAAATAAATAAATAAAAAAGCTTAATCGCATTACCTTGCAAGAAGTCTTTAACGAAACACATATAAAGGAAGTATTGCTGCCTAAATGCACAATTATATATATATATATATATATATATATATATATATATATATATATATAAATAAATAGTATATTTTTTATTTATTAATCTGTCAGATCTTATCACTTTCAAGTATTTTTAGTGGATGCTCATTGAACGGCGAGACCCTTCGTGGCTGATTCGGTCTAAAGCACTTAGGAGCTATAAATGTCGATAACTTGATTCGAGCCCTTGTCTCTTTTTTTGTCTTTACCTCATAATCTTGAGCTTTTCAGCCGACTGCCAAAGATAAATAAACCAAAAAAAAAAAACAAAAAAAAAAACGGCGGTCAGTAATAAAAAAAATCGGGTTAGTGTATTTTACAAGTTTTAATTTTAATATTTTAAGAGGATATCAGGCTGGTATGAACGTAACTGTTTCTTAATCTGGATTAAATAATACTTAAGGATTAATAATATTGTAAGGGACCAAAGTTTTTCTTGTAGTAGTAGTAGTAATCGCAGTGGTGGCAATGTTGGGGTGTGGTGATGGCAGTAATACTTGCTGTAGTGATTATGAAAACAACAAATTATACTTAAAAAATAGTAATTTTAAGACGATTTGGATCAAAGTAATTCTAAAGAGCATTCGCCGAAAAACGGATTATTTGATTAGTGAAACATAAATAAATTTGAACAAATTCATAGTAATTTGTAGATATTTCGATTGCTTTATTCACATCATCATCAGTGAACTTGAACGTACAGTAAGTTTAAGTTTCTTTTTCTCTCTTTCAGTTTTGTTCATACCTGTCCTACACTTTTTACAGTTTTACAGCGTCGGCAAAAATCCGACGGACGCAGAATATTCCCGCTTAAACCAGATTTCAACTGTGTATATTTCATTGGAAACAAAGAAAAGAGTCCTTTTTCATATGGCAGTTAATGCTGAACAAGAGTCTTCAGAAAACAGAAATGTAGTTTTACAGAAGGATGCTGAGAATACCATGAAGTGAACGACGAAGCTTTATAGAAAATGAAAACAAAAAGGACTCTTATACATTGCATCATAAAAAAAACAAAAAAAAAAAACAGTTGAAATTTCTAAGGCACATAATGAGGAAAGAGGGCTTGGAAATTTTTACACTCACAACACATAGTGAGGGCAAGAGGATCAACTGAAAGCGGCACATAACCTTCCTAACGAGCTTGTGTAGATAGTTGGCAGAGTAGGGATTAGCAGAGATAGCAAAAATGCAAAATTTACAGAGGGTTACAAAGAAGTTGTGAAGAGCCATTATCGCCCACGACCTGAAGGAAGATCTACCCACATCAAACCCCCCAAAACTGAAATCTTCCCAAATCCATTTTTCCTTTTATTACAATCAGATAGCAAAGTCGGAAATAACAGAACTGATTAAATACCGTATTTTCCGGAAGTCGCACCCTAATGTTAGAAAGAAATTTCTCAGAAAAAAAACCCAGTAATTCTCATACAAAAACACATTCACCAAGTGTCCCTTACATACAGACGCCACGTATTGTTTGCATTAATCACTCGTCCGATTTTGTGAATATGGCAATGAAGATGAGAATAACTGTTCGAATAATGTAAATAATGCAAATAATCATAATCTCATATATATATATATATATATATATATATATATATATATATATATATATATATATATATATATACACAAATATGACAGAATACTGAAGAAAAAACAAAATTCAATAATATTAACTATGAACACGGCCACAATATTCTGACTGTGTTCGGAAAATAAAACATTCCTATAACTCTAGAAATGTATACACAACCCCTATACCCAATTAAAAAGCAAAAATAAAATCATCCTTAATAATGGCCGAAGGTAAAGCTAAAAGTGTCCGGAATTACAGAACATTTGAAGTTTTTACACAGAATCCAGAAAAGAAAACAATTGTTCGAACACAAGAAATATGAAATAAAAACCTTAATAGCAGTACTTTGTCTGTCGTCTTTACTGAAGCATGTACAAATGAAAGATTGAGTCCTAGGCAAACAATATATAAATAAAAAGAAAGTATAAACATAAAAATATCTTAATATATATATATATATATATATATATATATATATATATATATATATATATATAAAAATTAATAAGAATTATGATCAATCCATCAAACAAATTCAAATAATATACAAAACCTCCGAATCCGTTATGAAATGAAATGATCCTTGTTTCTATAAATTTCTGCCGTATTAGTTCTTATTTTACTACAAGCTTTCGTCTGTTCCTACAGACATCTTCAGGTATGGAATAGATGTTGTTCTTGTTTTTCTCTTAGTAATAAGAGGACAACAAAAATATATGTATTGTATATGAAAGCTTGTAGTAAAAAAGGATCATTTCATTCATAACGGATTCGGAGGTTTTTGTATATTATTTGAATTGTTTGCGACGATGGATTTCTCGCCAATTAAATCATTAACCTTTGCATTTGTTTTTTGTGTGAATAATTCATGAATTTGTAAATTGATTGCACGTTTATTGTAATATATATATATATATATATATATATATAACACAAATATGCCAGAATACTGTTTAATTGAAAGGAACAGACCATTTACTTGAATAAATTGTATCTAGAAAAATAACGTATTAACAAATTAAATATTTCTCGGATTTAATTCATTTCCTATGATATACAGTGTAACCCGGATATATATATATCGGGTATAACAGCAAAATTGTCCAAATCATGTTACAGCAAAATTGTCCATTTGTTAGTTTAACTTTGAACCTTTGTATCTTAGAATTATTACTTTTTGGAGTCTACTTTGAGCAATAAGAATATATCTCCAGGCTTAACGGAAGAATCGTGATGAAATCGATTATAAACGAAAATGATATGTTCATCATTAATTAATCATAGCTAAGAAGAGGAAGCTCATGAAGGATTGAAATAAAGTTCAAATATATATATATTATTCCAGGATCGTTTTCTAACTTATTTAAGATGATCTTCGTTCTCTTTAACCTTCTAACTTTCTATCCTGGCGTAACAAGGTGCCTTACACGCTTATGGATTAAGTTGTATTTTTTTCTAATTGTTCTCTTTAGCTCTAAGTTGAAACGGTGATCCATCTTCCTGATCCAGTTTTCCTCTCTACTGTTCCCTCTTTTTTTAAACTTAGTCACCGTACTCTTGATGGTTCTTGAAAGGACGTTGAAGATGGAAGCCAGAGTATGAATGTTGGTAACATTACTGAAGGTCTGAATGATCTTTTTCCTCTCACCATTGCTCAGTTGGGAATATATAGTGGGTCTGACACAATACATTTTGAACCTGCTCTCTTTTTAGCTGAATAACTCAATGAGTTTTTTTTGTGTCAAGATGGCTAAACGTGTGCTGACCTTAGCGTCCACTCTTATATTTACATACGCTCTATCACTGATATTCTGCACTTTTACCCATGAATATAGCATACCTTAAAACTATATTTATCACACACACACACACACACACACACACGCACACACACACACACACACACACACACACACACACACACACACACAGATCAAGCTTGCATAATGAAAAGTGCATATATATTACTAAACGAGAAATGGTGATACTCCCTGACGTGTGGACGGAGTGATTGCTGGAGGGTCCAACTACGAAACATATATACACCCATGAATATAGCACACCGTCAAACTAGGTAGGTTATTTAGAAAATTATATATATATATATATATCTATATATATATATATATACTGGCCGCGCGTATGCCTGTCTACTAGGACGCCAGCCAAATCCTTCTTCCTTGAAGACGTCTGCTCAGGCACATTTGTGTTTGTTCAACACCTGCAGAGCCGACCAGTAATTTATACTGCAACTATGCTGAGCAGACCTTAGTTTCTGTGAGAGAAAGCACATTTATCTGGCGTGAACGACAGTCTGAAAAAGGCCTGTACACTCAAACCCTCCTGATACGATGTCTTGTCACTTCGTTCTAGCACAACCATCGACAGCTCCCGAATATCTCACAAGGTTTGGGTCAACTCGCATCTCCGAAATGTGCCGCATGCTAAAATCAAGAAGTCCTGACAAATCGACCACAGTGAGATTCGAACCCTGGTCTTATGGCCAAAAGCAAATGTGCTAACCACTCCGCCACGTGCCAATAAACAAGTTCATTAGGGGAACTTCATCAAAAGTAAATATTAAAAATCTATTGAGAAATATATGATGTTTTTTTTTCTCGCTATCAAGCATCATCACAAATCATTCTGTGTCCACGCAAGGTTGTAGAAATATCAGCGCTGGGTCCATAGAGCTGTGATTTAGTTGGATGTTGTTTTCAAGAGATGTTAAGTATAGCTCTCAACATCTGAGTGTAGGTTCCATCAACTTTAGACTCTAGGTTTTAGTTAATGTCCAAGCAGTGGCAACATACATTAAAACCACCTCTACAGTGGCATGAAAAGAATCTCCGTTTGAGGTTGTTTGTTAGGGTCAGATTTCAGATTACATCCATCTTGTTCAAGACGGCCCTAGGCTTTAGCCTTGCAAATTTCCACATCCTTTTCAGTAGAATTTATTTCGCTTCCTATGTATGTAAAAGATTTCGACAGATTTCATTGATTCATACGAGACAATTTGTATTGAGCCTTGTTACTTGAATTGTATGAATAAAGTTTTAGAGGCATTGACACAGAGTTCAATATCATTAGCAGAATTTTGTAAATGATGTAGGAGAATTATGACATTGGTGGTTTATGTAGTGATAGCGAAGCCATTTGCATAGTCAATATCAGTCAACTTTTTTGCGAGGATATCAACTTCAGAGTTTTGGGGTTTTGTCCTCATTAAGAAGAAAAATTACAGGATTTTTATGTAATAATTTTATTAGTAGTAGTAGTCTTTACAAAACACTAGAAATTTTGGTTATATTTTTTCTTTTTGTTCAAAATGGGACATTGAATTTGTATGGGAAATTTGCTTGTAGAAATATCAGTGAGCTGTGATTACTAGGATGTCTCCAAGACATGTTAAGTGTAGCTTTCAGCATTCGAGTGTAGGTTCCATCAAGTACCTTATAATAAATGCATATATTTTAATGCTTATTGCTTCGTCACGTAGTATATTTTATATTCATAATAAATGCACATATTTTATTGCTTATTGCTTAGTCACGTAGTATATTTTAGCATGTGTAAATGTGTATCCAGTAAAGAACATAATTGTACCTATATTCCGGCAGTTTACAACAGCTACTAAGACACTGAAATCGACTATATCGTAAGTAAATTAAAATAACCAGTCAAATTCATTTTTGGTTCGTTAATGCGAACGCAACTGAGCGCTTTCATCCCCAAATAAACAAATACGATAGGATGACGGATAATATGAACAAAGATCATAAATTCTTCTTGTAAGGACTACTTGGTGGCACCGAGGAATTTTCATCGTCCCGTCTTATACTCGATTTGTTTGATAAGACTGGACCCAGATAAACAAATAATGCGTTTAACTGACGCCCGGATAAAGTAGAAATTCTTATGGACATAGATAAAAATGAGATCTCAGAAAATAGAAATGAACAGAGTAAGATAGATCTAGCTAACTTGATATGACTTCGAGGTATGAGGGTTAATCAGATCAGTCCTAGGAACCGAAAGGCCGACACCAGCACATGAGATTTGATTATAATGGTGAAGGATTTGTGCAGAACCATCCACACTTTCTGAATGGCCGAATACAGTGACCCGGTGCACTACGTGCCACAAGGTCCCCAAACGACCCTCCGCAGGTTTTGCATACAGAGTTGCCCTTCTCCTAGATCAGTTGCTATAGAACCCAATCTGTCTTGCTATTTATCCATAGCTGGAGGAGAAGAAGAGAATTCATATCTTTCTTTCCCAAGGGTATTTATTATCCCGTAAGTGAATATAATGGATTCGACTGAATTCGAACTCGGCTCTCCGATTCCCCAATCAAGCTGCTAAACATTACTACACCGCGCCTCAATATATATATATATATATATATATATATATATATATATATATATATATATATATATATATATATATATATATATATATATATATATATATATATATATATATATATATATTTTTTATATTTTTATATATATATATATATATATATATATATATATATATATTTTCCTTTCATTTCGTTGTTGAATTGTTACCTGATGATCCGGAGTCCTTTTAAAAAGGATTTTGGTGAAATAAATTATTGTAATGGTACCTTAAAGTGGTCTGTTTTTCATTAAATATTAGCTCTGTATTCACATTGAGCTCTCAGGATTCCATCCTCCTTGGAATTAACCATTCGGTTTACCAAGTTCTTCATAACTTAAATATATATATATATATATATATATATATATATATATATATATATATATATATAACGAGATTACGAGAGATAGATAGCTATAACGTGATTGCGAAAGAAAGATATATAGATAGATTACACGAGACTGTGAGAAAAATAAAGAAAATAGATTGATTGGCAGGTTGATAGATGAAAAGGCTGAAATAGATAAATATGACGAGATTGTGAAAACAATTTATTGGTTTGAAATCGATAACAGTATCGATCATACAATAAAAATAAGATCGTTAGAAATATTTAAACAGTTTCTCATCAACCATCTCTCTCTATCTATCTATCTATCTATCTATCTATCTATCTATCTATATATATATTTGCATGTATGTGTGTGTGAATGGGAAAAAAAAGAGATTCATTCAAGCGCTCTCGCCGCCAGTGCTCGTTCTTCTGCAGACACATTTTTTTTTATTGATTCATCGACTTTCCAAACAAGTCATCACGAACAATAACCCACCTGACACAGTAACTGTGCAATTTGTCAGGATGACCGTACGTCGTTCTTTATCCCCTGGGGAATATTCTGTTTATTCACCGAACAGCCTGTCATGTTTGTCCAGTTTTTCTTTTCTTTTTCGTGTGTCCTGCATAAGGGTAACTATTGCTAACAACTACGGTTGGTGTGTTCGTCGACTAACAAGTGTGCTGACAGACAAGATTTTGCTGGTATTAAACTCGGTGTGGCCTTTCCAAAGAACTTTTTAGGCATGCTGAGTGTTTCTATGTTCATATCAGTTCGTCTTAGCTGCTGAATTCATTTCTGCCTGGTTGCAGCTATCTATCTATCTATCTATCTATCTATCTATCTATCTATCTATCTATCACAGATTTTAGAGCCGTTGTTCCTAACGTTATTTTTTTAAAACAATTTCTTAGTAATTTCTGCCTCAGTATTTCAACTATTATTTCGTTCTTTTATATTCTCTTTCATCGATGCCATGTTCTCTGGAAGCTTGTTTAGACCAAGTCAATGTTTTTTTTAGGCTTACTCCACATGAATAGCAGTTCACTTTTTTTTAATACAGTATAATCCCTCATATCCGGAATCCCTAATATCCTGAGTGCCTCATATCCGGAATCCCGCATATCCGGACATGATTTTGACGTGTATATTTGAACTATTTGAGTGATATGTAACTGATTTGAAATGTCCGTTTTTCGGGAAATTTACTTTGGATAATTGCTTTTGCTTATTTCACCATAATGGCTTGTATTTGGTGCAAAAAATGATGGGAATAAGAGAAAAAGAACAACTGCAATGGAAATTTTAAACTGACTAGACGCTGGTGAAAGTTCATTGTAACTAATGACTGAGTTCAACGAAGGAAAGTCAACGTTGTATGATATAAAATCTCCCAACGAAACTATTCTTCAGCGTTCACACTGTCACAGTGAATAAGGAAATAAAAAAAAAACATGATTGTGAGGAAACCTGAACTGAAAATGAAAAAACTATTGAAAAAGTTGCCAGTTTTATGGAAAGAAAGCCAGCATTCAACTATGACGATTGCAATAATGCACGCAAACGTGTCTTTCGTTTAAAAAATTCAAGAACAAAAGCAAAACGAAATGCGGAAAAAGTTGAGAATGGCATTAGAAGAGAACGAATCATCATGCAACAGCGATTAAAAAACCATCGTTACATTATTTGTTTTGCATACGTGCCATATTTAATTTAATGAATTTTCATTAACATTACATAATTTATTTCTTTTTTCATTAAAATCAGTTCCGTTATATTTCACTCACCATTAGCTTATTTTATTTACTATAAGACATTGAAAATAAATGTTAAACCTGATTTCAGTTCTTTTATTTTAATTAAAAATATAACCCCTCATATCCGGACTATGTAACCTATTCCTCATATCCGGAAGGCCTTGTTAGTCCGATTGTTAGAGATTCTACTGTAATTAACAATCATATATCACAGGGAGGTTATCAAGATTTTAGAGACGTTTAGGTTGGCAACCACTGTTTTAGAGGCTCAATTCAAAACCGTTACACCTCAGCTGCACTTGCAATTGATTCTCAAGGATAAAATAGCATTCATTGATAAAGGTTATCCATTATGGCTGTCCCAGTAAGACAGAGTGATCGGGATATTAGCCAAGCAAAACACAATACAATTTGGTTGGTTTATTTATAAAAAGAGAATTTCAAAGCTTAAAAGCAAAACAGTAAGTTGATCACAAAATAGGAAATTACTGGACTCAAATAAAGATAAGATTTTTTTTTGTCAGTTGAAAATGCAGCCGAAAGCGAAAAAAAAAAAAAACCTCCAACGAAGAAAGATCTTAAATATCAAACTTAGTTAAGAAAAAGGGGAAAAATAGTCTGAAAAAAGTTAATCGTGACTTGAGAAGCCGATGTTTTTATGGCTTATCTCTTTCTTAAGTCGAATTATTCTGGTTAGTCGATCGGATCATGGTTAGAAACAGATGTAGATGAGGGATGACAGTTATTTAGCCCGTACCGTGAAGGAAAAATAAGAAAATTAGTTTGAAATCTCTACCCGTTGAATTTAAGATACAGCTCTTTAATTTAGATAACAGTGTTATTTATGAAGTTAGTTTAGTCTGGCACAAGGCCACAAATACGGCTCAGCATGGAACGAGTTCCGAGACCAATTTTTATCGTTAAACATCACAATTTCCCTACTGTATATCGTGCGCGCAGATCCCGGTTACAATTGATTAATAACAATACAACTGATTAATAATAGTCTGGCACAAGGCCACAGATACGGCTCAGCTTCTGAAACGTAGATGTCTAGGTTTTAAATGCCGTTTTTTGGGCGATGCAGAAAGAGTGGCATGAACGAAAAGTGACTTCGTCGTTGAAAAATCTTCTTTCTTTTTATGTGCCGTGTCCCTTCAGGACGTAGGCGATCATGGCTCCCCACTTTCCCCTCTCCCTTGTAGCTCTCAATAACTTTCTTCCTTCTGTCACCTCCCCCAGACCACGTTCTGTCATCCACTTGCCTCGGCCCGCCAGGTTTGTCATGTGTTGCTTTCCTTTGTCTCTCTTTCCTTCTATTCGACCTGTGAGTATCAAATTCTCCAGGTCCTCCTTTCGTAATACGTGTCCCAGAAATTTCGTCTGTCTCTTCCTGATGTTAAGTATAAGATTCCTCCTTGTTTGCATCCTCTCCAAAACCTCATCGTTGCTCACATGTTCTGCGCATGGTATAATTAGCATCTTTCTGTAGAACCATATCTCTGTTGCCTCGAGTCTGTTCTTCATCTTTGAGGAGACCGTGCAACATCCGCTGCCGTAAAAGGGGAGAGATATCACGTAGCTGTTCAGTACTCTTTTCTTTGTTACCAAAAAAAAAAAAAAAATCATTTTAGTTCCTTCATGTGCTTCAGTTGTGTTGCTGTTAAAAGTTAGAAAATGGTGAAGTGTACTAAAAGAAAATATATCTTTTGTTAACAGTTGTTGCTCTATTTTTTAATATCGAGTAATTTGTTCCCAAAAATTCGGATCACCTTTAATCCCTATTAATTAACTACCCGACATATTTTGTTAGGTTTGGTTTGGTTTGGTTCATTTAGTTTTATGGCATATCAACCTCAGTGGGTCATTTAATGCCGACAAGATTTTTATTGCTGGTAATATTTTTTTTCAAAAATGTATTGTTGGAATATTTCTTTATCTGAAATGCATTGCTGGTAATATTTTATTTTTAAAAAATGTATTGCTGGTAATAATTTTCTTTCTAGAAATATATAGCTGCTAATATATTTTTCCAAAAAATGTATCACTGGTAATAATGTATTGCTGGTAATAATTTTTTTAGAAAAATGTATTGCTGGTACTAAAACCTATTTTTACATTTTCATAGTGTTTTGACCCCAGATTGGGGGTTAAATATTTGCCCATAGCTGGGACCCTAACAGGTGCTACCACGCCGGGTTAGGGTGGACCTGAGAACACCAACAATTAAGAGATGGTTCCACGCTCCTCAAAACCTACTGATCACAGGATTTGCTGTTGGATGCAGTTTATCGTCTTACCCAGGGCGTTTAATTAGGTTTTAATGCGCTGTTATTATATAGGCCATATAGTACATTGAAAGATTGGTTAAAAATAAGCATGCCATGAAGAAAAAGGTCACAAACAGAATAAAAACAGAGTTTTATCGTCAAAATTTTACGTTATTATTAAGAGAAAAGACCAAACGATTTTTTGATTATTAGATTATATTTCTTATCCTTTAGTGCCTTCGAAATTTTGGTTAAAAATGATGTTTTTCTTGCGTCAAAAAGAGGCCATAAATTAGTATGGATAATTTTAGCGTTATTTTGCGGTGCAAAATGCACTGATTTGGAAATTCTTTCAAAAATCAAATAATCGTCGGATTTTAATGAAACTTGTACGACTTATTCAGAAAGGAATTAAATTATTTTTAAAATGTTTCTTTTTTTTAGAAAATCTTTCACATCTGTATAAGGCTAACTGTTGCTAACATCTACGGTTGGTTTGTTCGTATAATAACATTTGTACTGACAGAGAAGATTTTGCTGGTATTAAGTTCGGTGTGGCATTTCCAAAGATAGAGTGATAGCAACGAACAAAGATAGATAGATAGATAGATAGATAGATAGATAGATAGATAGATAGATAGATAGATAGATAACTGCAACCAGACAGAAATGAATAGATATTCAGCTACTAAGACGAAGTGATATGAACATAGAAACATTCAGAATGCCTAAAAGTTCTTTGGAAAGTCCACACCGAAAAATTCATTTTTTGGAGCTTAATGTTCATCTATCTTTGGTTATAAGAACAAGTCCTCGGAGAATATAGTGATGAATTTTCTCTGGCACACAGGACTCCAGTTCTACAAAACCTGCTCTGAATCGTAAAAAAAGAAAAAAAAAATGTACTAAAACTAAAACATTATTTAATTAGAAAAGTTTGCAACTGCTTTTACGTATAAAATATATAATGAACATTATTTATTATCTTAAGAATTAAAACTTTTTCGATGAATACTGAATTTTTTATTTTATTTTTAAAATTTTTTAATTAGAATAATTTATAATCTTTTAAATCTTTAAAATTTTGTATTACTTTATAGCGTTTAGCTGTTATTGTTATTCAGTAAAAATTATATTTACTAATCATAAACAGAACTCACTATTCAACGACACAACATTTTAAAAATAATCTTGAATTTATTTTATGTCTGTATAAATGTACCGATTTTTGTAAATACGGGTGTCCAAAGGTGACATTATCAGAAAATAAGAGCGACAGTTATAGTAAAGTTAAGCTGTGGTGGTAATTTTCTAACATTTCTTCACCAAAGTTAAACTAAAATTGAAATTACCCAAAATTAAATAAAATATTAGATTGCTTAGAATATTTTCTTAAATTTTAAAGATTACTGGATAATTATATAAAAATGGCCTTCACTTCATATTCGTCAAGTAAATGTTACAGTTATGTCCCGCTTAAAAAAATTCACAAACATAAGTCTAGCGAGAAAGTTGTCAACATCTCATAAAAACAACCATATCTGTGTTAAAAAATGATTTTCTGCGATATTTTAGATTAAAAATAATATTTGTCTCAAATCAGATTAATTAAACTTAAATCAGTTAATCTTCCTCAGAATTTCAGAAAAGAATATTTCATTTTTTTAATGATTTTTAATAAACAGAATTACGCTGTGTTCACAGATTTTTCAATATGTACGACTTTAGCGTTTTTACGGATAAAAAAAAAATCTCTTTCTAATCAATTTAAATTTACTTTGCAATAATGTAAAGTACTTTATTAGGAATATGAAATTTAATCTATTAGCTTGACATTAAAACTAA